TGCTTAAGAGTGTATTATTCAAGTTCCATATGTTTGTGTGGGTTTTCCAGTTTCTTTTATCATTAATTTCTAGTTTCATGGCACTATGATCTGATAACATGCATGGGACAATTTCAATTCTTTTGTATTTATTAAAATATGTTGTGAGGGTTACTATATGATCTATTTTAGAGAACATTCCATGTACTGCTGAGAAGAATATGTATTCTGATGTTGTTGGATCGAACACTCTGTATGTCTATCAAGTCCATTTGTTCACAAGTGTGATTCAGTTCTGTTATTTCTTTGCTGATTTTCTGTCTAGTTGATCCTTCCCTTCATGTCAATGGTGTGTTAATGTCTCCTGTTATAATTGTGTTGTTCCTAATTTGATTTTTCATTTCTGTTAATAGTTGTTTTATATAACTGGGTGCTCTGGCATTTGGCGCATATATATTTAAGATTGTTATCTCTTCCTCTTGAAGTTTTCCCCTAACCACTATGTAGCAACCTTCTTTATCTCTTAAGATCACTCTTTGTTTGAAGCTCACATTGTCTGCAAACAGAATAGCTACCACTGCTTTTTTTTCATTTCCTGTTGCATGAAGTATTGTTTTCTATCCTTTGACTTTCAGTCTGTGAGTTTCCTTTTTGGTTAGATGGGTTTCTTATAGACAGCATGTGGTTGGATGCTGTTTCTTGATCCATTCTGCCAATCTGTTTCTTTTAATTGGTGAATTGAGACCATTTACATTAATGGTTATAACTGTTATATACCGGTTTGTTGTTGATATGTTATCTTTCTGCTGTTGCAACTTTATCTTTCCATTCTGTTTGTCTGCCTTGCTTAATGGTTTTTTCCTATGTGTATCTAAACTGTCTTTCAGTATTCTTTGCAGGGTTGGTGTGTTGATCATGAAGTTCTTCATCTGTTCTTTGTCATGGAAGTATATTATTTCTCCATCCATTTTTCAGGACAGTTTTTCAGGGTACATCAGTCTAGGGTGGAAATCATTTTCCTTTAGGATCTAAAATACTTCACTCCATGCTCTTTTTTACTTCATTCTTTTTGTTGAGAAGTCTGATGTGATTCTGATAGGTTTTCCTTTATAGGTGATCTGTCTTTTCTCTCTAACAGCCTTTAATATTCTGTTCTTATGTTGGATTTCTCTGATGGTGATTATTATATGTCTTGGTATGGCGTATTTTGGTTATGGCTATTTGGGTTTCTATATGCTTCCTTAATCCATATGTCAGTTTCCATTCTCATGTTTGGGAAATTTTCAGCTATTACATCTATAAATAGCCTCTTGATATCATTTGTGTTACTCCCTTCTTTTCATTTATCCCTATCAATCTTATGTTGTTTTTATTTGCATCAGCTTGCAGCTGTTGAATTGTTATTTCCTGATTCCTTGTTAGTTTTAAAAGATTTTTCTTTTCCTGTTCACTAGCTGCAATCTTGTCTTTAAGGTCTGAAATTCTATCTTCACTTTTGTTGAGGCAGTTTTGACAACTTTCAATGGAATTTTTGATTTCCTGTATATCTCTTTGAATCTGCTTTATATATTCTGTTTGTTTCTTATATTGTTCATCCAGGGATTCTATCATTTTGTTTTGTTCCTCTGTCTTTTTAACTGTGTCTTTTTTAGATGTGTTCAGCATCTCGTTCATTACTTTTATCATTTCTTCTTTTTACCTGGGAGATTATTTCTACTTTGAATTCCTTTAAAGCTTCTCAGAGTTGCTTCTTTATTTCAGTAGCTATTATTTCATGTATTTCAGGTGTATGGCATATATTTTCTTCTATGTACATGGCTCCTAGTCTTTCTTGGGATGGCTGGAGGTTTGAGATTGCATTTTGTTCTTTCATTATGTCATTTTCCTATATTTTCCTGTTTCAAATGTTGTTCCAAGGCTTCCCCTGGGCATATTGGAAATCATCTCCTATGCCCTCGGTCCTGGGACTGAATGGAAGTTGCTGATCGTGGTCCACTCAGGCCCACAGGACCTCCCATGCCACCTCCAGAGTTCCAGGAGGCTGGGCAGACGTGTAACCACTGTGGATGATGGTCTAGAGTTTTCCCTGGGCAAGTACCAATGCACGGGTACTCACTTCATGTGCTCTCAACTCCCTTGATTGATGAAGGTCACTGGGAGTAATCTAGTTGAGCCACAAAACCTCCCAAGCCTAGTCTAATATGGCTGGAAGCTGGGTGGGTTCTTGACCATTGGGATCTTAAATTCTCCTCAGACTCGAGATGGTGAGCAGGAACTCACCCCTGCTGGCAGCCCAGTTCCCTCTTCCTGCAGCCCAGTTGCTGGGATTGAAAGGTCACTTGGCATGGCCCAGGCAGGCCTGAAACCTGCAGAGTTGATTCTACTGTGGCTGGAATCAGGGTGCATCCTTGATCACTGGAATTGATGATCTTAAACTCTCCTAGAGCTTGGGATGGTGATCAGGAATTTATCCCCACAAGCAGTCCAGTTCACTCCTCCCCCAAGTGCAGTTCTGAGAGGGTGATGTGGCCTCACATGTTCTATCAGGACTGTATCATGTCGGAGGGCTCCAGAAATCTGGTGGGATCTCAGAGATCATGCCATTGGGGACAAGAACTACTGAGATCCTGGCAAGGGTAGTAGGCCTTGCTGAAGGCTTGGCTGCAGTCATACAAAAGAAAAACAGTTGGTAAATCTGTCCTCTGAGTTATTGAGTGAAAGGAAACTAAGTCTCTTTGCTGGTTCTGAGGGCACCACTGTCCTCTGCCTTGTTGCATTAAGGAAAGGGCACCCCCACCCCATGAGGACAGAAGGGTGAAGCTGTGAGACTAAGCTTCTGAGCCTCCTCATGGTGGCGATGTTGCTCCTCTTCCCTAGCAACTTCTTTTAAACCTTTTCTGCAGATGGGCAGTGCTCATTTGGGGCTTTTTTTTTTTTCCAGTACTGGAAAACTATCCTGGGACACCCTCCTGGGGCATGTGGGCCTTTCTGTTGGAGGTGTTGACAGAAGTGAGCATTTGGTGCTGAATCTTTCTTTACAAATCATTACCTGTGTACAGCTCTGCCAGATGGCTGCTCACCCAGGATCAGGCAGAAGGCCCTGCGGCTCAGTACCTCAAGTGACTCGCCCTATCAATAGCATTACATGGCATTATCTAGCTCCAGGATTTCTGTGACAGTATTAACACTGAAGGCATCTACTATTATGCTGTGTACCTGACTTCCACCAGGCCACCTAGAAGTAGGGACAGCCTACCTTCAGTGAGCGGGCAGTGAGGCTCAGTTGTGCTCATCACTTCCCCCCCTTGAGGGTCTGAACTCTGTCTTGAGTTATCTGTCCCAACTCTGGCCAGAAACCAAGCTTCCACCAGAGACAAAGGGTGGTAGGCAGTTCTGAGCAGTAACTTGGGCCCAGAGATGGCAGCTCCACAACCAGTACCACCACCCCGGATACCCTGCTGGGCCCCGAGTATCATTTGAGGTTTATTTGGCCTAATCCTAGATGCACATGAGCCGCCATATCTCCGGGGTCCTGAAACATTTCAAGTAGTTTAATGTGGCACCAAATGGACTCAAAAACTTTTATAGGTGAAGCAGCCTCTAATCCTTCATATATGCAGTGCCTGTTTTCAAGGTTAAAAATGCAGACATCTACACATATGCGCTCTGCTGCTATTATAAGACCAAAGTCCAGTTTTCTTATTTTATTTTTTAGTTATCTTATTTTTTTCCAGAAAATCTTTATTTGCCAAAATATAGTTAATATATAAATAATATACATGGACTGATTTCTGGAGAGTTTCATATGCAATATATATACTGCATACCACTTACATGAATACTCTCTTGATAGCAAAATATCTACTGATGTTTTTCTGCAAAATGAATAGTGAAGGGTGTATGGCTGTTAAAATTTGCACTATTGACTTCCCTAAATAAAAACCACGTGTTTTCAAAGCAAGGCTGTCTAAGACTTGCTTCCTTAAAATAGAGATGAGCTGGGTCCAGCACAGCACTGCCTGATTCTCCATGATCCATCTCCCGAGGTCTGAAACACCCACTGAGATGCTGGCCAGAACTGTGGAGCTTTTAAGGAAAGTGAACACGAAGACCAGAAGACGCAGGGGGAAGCCTGAGAGAAAAACAGGTAACAAATGCCACAAAGTATCGAATTTGCCGCCTTTTATATACTATATCAATTCCACCTGCTGCATATTTACAGTGGAGCAAGTGCTTTAAAGATGGAAACATCTTTAAAAGAACAAAGATCAAACTTTAGAAATCTCAGAACAGCAAAAACTGTCTAAATCATGCAGATTATTCAGACAGACACTACTGAATACCATTCTCCCTACTCCAGCATGGTAGCATATCCCTATGAAAAATAAAATCACACCATGATTTTGTCCAAAAATAGAAACCTAGGGACCAGGTTGACAACTGACTCCAGGATCCTGCAGGTGACAAGACTCAGTATAAAAAAGTGTTATGTAATGATAATGTCCTGCATGCTTTCCAAGTATTTGGATTATACATTAATAGTTTGTATACTCAGCATAGCTGGCAAATTGATTGAAATAGCTACTCAGAGTTCAAAAACAAAACTTGTCTATAAAATACCTTTTCAAATTTCAATACAACTAAAATAGGAAGCAAATTAATTTCTAGTGTCAGACATCACAGAAAACAGACTGCCCTCAAAGGTTTAGCTGAGAGCTTTAAGTCTGTAAATGAAATCCCTGTGCTGTCAGTTTGTCCTTTTAATAATTCCATGGTTTCCCAGTAGGTCTTGCACCATCACATGTCTAACTTGGAGGAACACTACATGAAACATGCGTCCTCAGCCTGAGTGTGTAATTGTGCAGTTCAGCAGCATGTGAGATGTTTGTTCCTGGGTGTTATTTTCAATGTGATGTATATACACAGCATTTTACATAGATCTGCAGGTGTAGAAAGTCTTCATCCTTTTGGAATAGGAGCAAATGAGAAATGATAAAAACTTTTAAAAAACACAAAAACCATGGCAAAATATGTACAGCATTTACTAAAGAGGCACCACACAGATTTGAACAAATTTATGTTAATAATTTCAGCCGAGTTGGGATGACTGCTGTGGAACACGTTGAATCTAAAAGACAGGAGGCACAGGCATTAGTCAAAGGCGGAGCTCCCCAGAAGGAAAGCCCCTCTTTCTGTTCCACCCTGTCCACAGGTCCCCTTGGTGTTCCAGAAGCTCTTTTCCCTTAAAGCCATGGCTGCCACCTGAAAGGCAGAAGAGGAACCCATGGAAGCCAGGCAGCTGCAGAGGAGCTTCCCTGGCCAGGGAGGCACCACCTGCTGGGCCACACTGCACCTGCATAGCCTGGAACCCAGCTGTGGCCAGTCCTTCCCAATCCTTAGATCCTCTTTCACTCTAGAAGACTTTCAGTCCTCAGACTTAAAGGCTTTCCCTTGAGGACACACAAGTAAAGAGTGTTAATTAACTGCACACTGATCGTCTTTTGATAGTTCACTTCCAAGTTCATTTAAAATCACACTTGCTGATTGACTATGAGACACATAAAGACAGTTTCCTTTCATGAGTTAAATGGCCCTCTGCTTCCTTTCCCGCCACCAGTGCATAACATGGAACATGGGCCCCACCTGCACGGACCACAGAACACAAGAGATTCAGACACACCCTGGACACGATGAAGGCTCCGCTCTAAGTCACCTGGACCTCATCCCAACACAGTGGCAGTGTCAGGTGAGGAGTATGACCCAGCCTCAGCCTGACCACCAGGCCTAGATGCTGAGCTCTTGGGATGGGCTCTGCTGTCTGGGGAAGGGACATGGGCTTCTCATCCCAGATGCTTATCCCATGACTGCTGATTCTGATGGGGGTTCCCTGTGGGCTGCTTCCATGGAGGGAGGAAGGAGGAATCTGAACCTCCCCTTCCTTAGCCAGGGAGAAGAGGTCCCCACCCTCCAGTGCTGGCTTGGAATTCAGAGGCCCCCCACCCCTGCTGCTCTTTCTGCAGCTCATGATTCCATGACCTTTGGGTCTCCTCAGAATTTTCATGCCTTCTCTGTCCCTTCCCAGTGCTTCTGTGAAGAAGAAAATGGGCAGGGAAAGCACTTAGCTTAACTAGTGATTTTTTTGTTTTGAGGCCAAGTTTTCAATCACCTGAAAGGAAGAGGTTAAGAAATGTTTTAATGACAGTACAATTTCTAGTGTCTGTGCTCTTGGTGTGAATGAAGTGGTTCTCATCAGACATAGTTTTGTTGAAGCTTAACACTGGCTGCCTGCCTTCAGCTCCAATCAGTCTGAGCAATGTCAAGCTGCACACAGCCCCTGCCACAAGAGTCCCCCTGAAAGTAAACTGAGTTCCCATGATGATGGATTGTCAGACAGCGGTCCCCAAACCTGTCCCTAGGAAACAGGCCATGCCAACACCATCACACTGCTGAGTTCCCACATGAGGCTGCAACAGACTCCAGGCCAAAGAAATTAACAGGATTTGAATGAAGCCAGAGGTCAGGAACTTGGAGGAGAAAGGTCAGCGGTCAATGTTAGGACACAGGAAGGCCAGCGCATGTAAGATGGCAGAGTACTTGGCACAGCCAAGGCCCATCTCAGGAGGCCCAGAGCCCAGGGAAATTGGTGTGTGCTCCCAGTGGAAGTGCTGGCTGCAATCCAGTCATCAGTGCACCGGGAGTGAGACATGACCTGATTGCAGCTCCTCAGTGGATGAGTGCACACAGCCCAAAATGCTGGTGGTCAACTTGCTGTCTCCACATTGCTAATCCCTGAGGCGTCACCTGCCCAGCCAGGATGACAGATTCCAACACTGGTAGGATGCTACCAACATGCAGACCAAATTCTTCTCACTACCAAATCCTCAAGTACTACACAGAGGTCAGAAAGCCCCACCCTTCCACAAATCACGAAACAGTAATGTGAAAACGCTCTACAAATGCACACAATTCCATAACACAAAGAGCAAATGCCACACTGCTTCGCTCCTGTCCTGGCAGAAGAGTTGACTCTGCCTGGACCCACTGTGGTGGCCTCAGCCTTCCTAAGGCCTGCTTCTCATCATACTTATGACAGCTGCATACAGTCACTGTGAAATAGTAGGCACAGGCCTGTCCCTGACTGGACCTCCCCAAGCAAACACATTTCAGCTGAGCTTTCTTTTCTGTGAAGGGCCAGGGGATAAACACTTTGTGGTGGGCTGTGCGGTCTCAGCAGTTGCCACCTTCCTCTGGCAGGAGCACCAGCCATGCACAGACACCAGCTGTGCTTCACCTGAAGTCTGCAGACCATGACATTTGTATTTCACACAGTCTTCAGATGACACAAATTCCTACTCCTCTTTGGAAGCTTTGAAGACATGAAAGCCACCTTACCTCACAGCTGATTTGGAGGCACAAGTCCTACTTTGGTCTTCTTCTACTTGCAGTTTGGAAACTCTGTCCCAGGACCCATTCCTGTCAGTTTCTATCTTAACAAGCTTCTCAGGGCTCCTCCTTGGGGAACCAGTTAGAAAGGGGGAGGGGCTGCCCCACTGCAATCAGAGCACAAAGAGCTGCTAACTCACAGAAAGTCACAGTTGACACACAAGAATCCAAGATGCCCAGTATCCCAGAGTGAGATGCAGACGCCACCCCAAGGCGTCACCTTTAGAGTGGCAGCTGACTTCTGAGTGGCCTGGGTTATCAAATTATGAGTTAGGATACTCTCTAAATGTGCAAAAGCATCACTGCCAAAAATGCTTCCAAAATAGTAATTTCTCCCTTTAAATAAATACTTAGACACACAGAGAGCCATGAATTTCAAGGGCCATAAATTCCATTTCCAAGAAACCATCCTCAGTGCTAATGGATCAGTGTCAAGCATCCAAACTGCACAAGGATAGCGAATCACACAGGGCCTGTGAGTCAAGGCTGGCGAGGCATGAGCCCTGCATTACTCACACAACCTTCCCAGCACTTGGGGTTACACCTCCCTGTGTCAGTCTCCATTTCAAAACAAGATTGTGAAAGAATTTTTTCTCTTAATTCCACAAACTGCCTCTTACCCTGGCCATACTGGCAACCATTCACCCTGCTCTCTGCTGTTAATTGTTTGTTTTTCTTTGGGAAAAGACCAAGGCCCTTCAGGCAGGTGGTCAGCAAGCAGGAAGCTGATCTATCATCTCCAGAAATTGCCCACAGTCTCACGGCTTGAGGCCTGGGGTGAGTGCAGTCTGGTTCTTTTCCAAAGTTCTCTGAGTGCCTCTTCTTTTTGTATCTGCAGGGCTCAGTGTCTGACTGCACGACTGGGAGATCTGGGTCCAGCAGACACCTGCAGAAACAGCAGCCAGATATTAGCAACACAAGCGCCAGCAAAACCTCAGAAAACACCTCGCATTGTACTGACCACTTACTGAAGGCACTCAATGTAAAGCCCCAGGTCAGTGCTTGTCTAGTTCAAAAGGGTTCTCCACTTTCAGCTGCAAATCATTTTAAAGCCCAGGGCCATAAACTCACCAACTTCAGCACACCTGACTCCCCCACCACAGGCTCTGTGCTCAGGAGCTGGGGGTGTCCGCTGGAAACATGGAAGTATGTGACATCTACTGAAATCAGTGATAGTAGGAAAAGGAAAAAGACAGAAAGAAAGAAAGAAAGAAAGAAAGAAAGAAAGAAAGAAAGAAAGAAAGAAAGAAAGAAAGAAAGAAAGAAAACAAAGAAAGAAAAAGGAAGAAAGTAGAAGAAAAATAGTTTTTCCAGTGTCTGAGACTTACAGGAGGAAGTGGTTTGTAATTTGATTTCATTTGCCCCCTAAGTAACTGATGCCTGTTTATATACAGCTTTTGGCATTCCTTTGCTAGGATTTTAGGTTTTTAAAGGAAGTTAAGTAGAATACACAGGAATTCCACCCATCCTCACTCATCTTCTCATGAAGCAGTTGGTTTCAAGGCGGCAGCCAAGGCTGGGCCTGTGGCTCCCTGGCAGGTGCTGGCCTCATGAGCACAGCTGTGGGTCTCATCCCCAACACACACACACACCCACACACACACACACACACACACACACACTCACACACACACACACACACACACTCACACAATCAACAACCTATTTAGCATTTTAAAAATATGACTGTTTTTAGGTTTTGTATTGAGATTCATAGACAAAGACCAAGACAATAGATGATGCCCCTCAGAATCCACTGTAGTCATACAGGTCAAATACCAACAGATCTGTGCCCTACCTTTGACTGCTTCCATTTGTCACTCAATTTTTAAAAAACACAAAATTATGAAATGTAACTTACCTGACCATCAATTTTGAAGTCACCAAGTTACTTCTACAGAACTCACAATTATTCCTAGGATTTACAAAGCATTCACTGAGAATGGCGAAATGAGGCATTTTATGATACAGGAGGTAAAAGCTGCACCGTTTCAGAAATGCAGAGAAACAGTGAAGTTTCAAAACCCACAGAGCTGAGGACTGGACCCTGCTGGCAGAGCCCGCACTCACCTGTGCTCCCGCTCATGGTGTTTGGCTTTAGATTTGTTAGGCTCCTCCAGGTCTCTCGGTAGGCTCCTGCGGGCTTTCTTTGGTGTGCTACCCCCGTTACAGATACTTTCTGCACTCTGGTACCTGCGCTTGCCTGACCTCACGGTTTCACGTCCACGAATCCCGTGAGACAGGCTGCAGCCACTGTGGTCAGCCCTGAAGGCAGCTTTCTCCTGAGGGTAGCACTCGGGGTGCAGAGGGCAAGGCGGTGAAGCACCAGTGTGTGGGCTGTGGAAGCCGGTCCACTCCCACAGCAGGGCAGGCAGCTCCTGGCCCTTCCTGGCCTGGGAAGAATCCTTGTGTGACCGTTTCACACTGCGCTCCCTGGCTTCGTATGGAGTGTACCTCTCAGGCTAGTCTCTGTGCTGGTCCCACCGCATCTTTTTGGGGTCAGACTTCTCCAGGAGCCTGCGATGCTCCCTGCCAGAGGAGCAGTCTGGGCTCCAGTCCTGCTCAGCCCCACTCCAGGTTTGGGAGTGGTGGGAGCTGTATCTGCTCAGAACACAGGGCTACCCGGGACTGACTCTGTCTCCACAGCACAGAGGGTGCTGGTTGGCACTGCAGTGCTGCACAGCATGGCACTCCGGCTTGCTGTGCTTTCTCATGTGGCAGTACCACTTTCTGTCGCAATGTCCCTCAGTCCGGCTCCTGCTCCTGCTCCTGCTCCTGCTCCTGCTCCTGCTCCTGCTCCGGCTCCGGCTCCGGCTCCGGCTCCGGCTTCTACCCCTGCTTTTCTGTACATCTTCCCTAGTCAAGGAACAATCATGACGGTTATGGTAACCTTCATGGTCACATTGCCTAAGGCTGCTTATTTTTTGTGGAGTGTGATCTGGAACCTTCTGGACAGCCTGAACTTCACTGCATCCCTTGACATGACTGTGCCCAGAGTCCCCTTCAGGATGGGTGCCTGGGGTACTCTGTGGCTGAGTAGAAGGCAGTGCATTGGCACATTCTCCTGTATTCTGGGTCTGAGCCCCTGTGTCACCACACTGATCTCCCCTGAGGGAAACCAAGGGCCCGGGCTCACATCTGCCTTCTGACTGTGTGAAGGGAGCCAGGCTCAGTTGCTCCACTGTCCTGGCTAGTCTAGAGTGTCGCAGGCTCTCAGGTAACAACCCGTTCGCCTTGCTGCAGTCCTGTGTTACCTTCCCAGCATCACAGGGCTCATAAAGTGGGTCTGCACATGTGCTTGTCTGGTTCTTGTTACAAAAATTTTTACAAAGGCAAACACACATCAGTTCAGGCTGAACTGTTTTCTGAGGTAAGAGTTCTCATTGATTTGTGGCTGGGCTGGAGGTTTAGCTCAGCAGCATAAGTCCTGAGTTCGATCCCTGGTACCGATAAAATAAGACCAAAAAAAAAAAAAACCCTCATTGATTTGTGGCTGGTGTACAGGGCCAGCAAAGCCTTCATAAACATTTGGCACAGACTTGTGATCAGGTCCACTTTCTCATGCAAACAACCAACAGCACTGCCAGCCTCAAGCTCCCCAGTGAGTTTGCCCAACAGACTTTGCTTTGTTCCACGTGGACTGCATCCCACCAAAAATAAGAGATAAGCCAATAGTTAGCATGACTGCTCTGTAGGTATGGTCATGGCTTACATTTGCTAAATGTTTTATCGATTTAAATATAGCTGCCTAAGGGCCAATATCAGGCTACCATCTCTGGACACCAAATTTGCTCTTTTTTAAATAAAAACAAAATTTACATCAACCCTTCCTGTTTTTCCATAACAATAATTCTGCAGCTCTGCACATTGCTTGTTTCCAGATGTGCTTCTAATTCTCAAGAACTAAGTCATTAGTTGATGACTTTCCTGCCTCCCTTCTTTCTCTTGGAAGCTCAGAGTGAGGTAGCTATTTCCAAACAGAGCCAACAACTCCTTAAATTAAGGAAAACTAAGGGACTCACTGAGGCTCTGGGAAAACTTTCTGTAGTAGTAAGTGAGGGCAGGAAAGCATCCGGCACACTCTCACAATGAGCTGAGGGCTGTGGAAACAGTGCAACCCCTACCGTGATCTCCACTCTCCAGGAGGAGATCACTCCTACAGCCCGTGGGGAAGGTAGTAGCCCTGAGTTAGCAGGGGATTTTTGAGGCTGCACGTCAAAGCACATGTGCTTGGCCACAGTGCATGCATGGCCGGACTTAAGTGTATATGCACTAATTCTCTTGCACATTCATTTTGAGCAGCAAGGTGAATTAGGAAAGAAACAAGGGCAAAGTCATTGTGCAAATGCAGGGCACCCAGCTATTCTATCTGAAGGCAAAGGGGGATGGAGTGTGCTCTGCCTCTCCATTCTTCTTTAATAATGCCACATCCCTAACATAGGGTCTTGGGGGCCATCTGGGGTGCTCACAGTGCCATGGAGGAGGCTCTTCCCTGACATGTCTTCACATCTATGGGGGTGAAAACCTCAGTCATATTATTGTGATGATTTCCATAGATGTTACACTTCCCAGGAGGTAAAAGATTGTGTAAACTGAGAAATGGTCACACTGTGATGTGGCTGAAGCTTCTGCAAAGTGGTTCACAGCCCAGTGGTGCAGATGGCAACTCTGGATGCAGTGTTCATGCTGAATGATCACTGGGTGCACCTGCAGGTGCTCAGGTATCTGCCCACTGATACACTGTGTCCTGCAGCTTTGGTTCATCTGCAGATTCCACATGAAGCAACCACAGCTTCACTCCATATTCCTTTCCTCTTATTCCTGAGTTGTGTTACAGCTATGTCAATACACTGATTTGTTTTAAAAATTGAATGGAGGACAGCCTGCCGAGAACCAGCTCAATAGGGAGTCAGCACCAGCCCTTGCCCCTGCGCACTCCAGCAGCCCTTGGGATGCTCCCAACCCAGGGAAAAAGCATGACTGGGGAAAAGCAGCAGCAGGACCTGTACCAGCACACCCTGTGGCCACAGCAGTCAGGAGAATCCAGGAGAATCAAACTTGCACACTTTGGGGAAATTGTAGCCAATGCAGGAAGGGTCTGGGACCCCACTACCCATTTGTTTGGAAGAACCCAAGAAAGTGTCAAGATGAAGAAGCAAAAGGCATCCCGTGGACTCAAACCAAGCAGAGCAAGTCTAGAAGAGAAAAGCATGGGAGAGATCGGGAGTTGCGCGTCTGAAGTAGTTTCTAAAGAGATGGCAACTGAATTAAAGAGACAACTTCATGAGACTATAAAAGAAATTATTGAACAGAAATATACTCTCAGGTAAAAGAAGAAATGAAAAACATGATAAAAGACTTGCTAAGCATCTCTTAATAAGACAGATTTTAAAAAGGGAAAACCATAGGAAAATGAGAGAAACCTTGAACGAACAAAATAGGACAGCTTTAGAATGCATGAAGCAGATTGAAAGACACATTCAGGAAATTAAAACCTCCATTGAAAATTGGTAAAACTATTGGAAAGAAACTGAAAATAGAATTTCAGACCTTGAAGACAGGTGCGCAGCTTGCGATACAGAAAGGAAAGATTTCTTAAAAAGAGCAAGAAACCAGGAAACAACAATTCAATGACTACATGATAATGGAAAGCAAAATAATTTAATAATAATAGGTGTCAGTGAAAAAGCAGAGGAAAACACAAAATTCTATTTACGGAAATAGTAGTAGAAAATTTCCCAATAATGGAGAAAGAATGTGATATACAGGTAAGGCATATAGAACTCAAGCTAGCCATAACCAAATGAAATCTCCACTGAGACGTATAATGATCAAGGTTCCATAAATTCAACCCAAGAACAGAATATTAAAAGCTGTTAGAGAAAAGAAACAAATCACCTGCAAAGGAAAACCCATCAGAATCATGACAGACTTCTCAACACAAACTATCAAGTCAAGAAGAGCTTGGAGAGAAGCATTTCAAGTCCCGAACGAAAACAGTTTCCAACACAGATTGATACAGCCTGCAAAACATTATTTTAATTAGTGGAGAAACAACATGCTTCATGAAAAAGAACAACTGAAGCAATTCATGGCCAAAACCAACCCTGCAAAGAATACTGAAGGACATTTTAGAGAGATAAAACCACCACCATTCCAGAAAGAGCATCTGAAGGAGAACACAGAATGGGGAACGTAGTTGAATGGAGTGGAAAAGTAAGCAACCAGTGGCAGGAAACTAGCCTGGCAGAGACCAGCCAGTGCACGGAGGCCGTAACATTAATGTAAATGCCTCTATTCACCAATAAAAAGAAACACAGGCAGAGTGGAAGCGGGGACAAGATTCATTACTATGCTTTATTCTACAAACACATTAAACTCAAAAGGAAATGAATAGGCTAAATGTCTGAGGAAAGAAAAGTGCCCTATGAGACCGGGAATCAGAAAAACAGTAGGGTCTCGTGCCCATCAGCTGTAGAAAGGAGAGGAGAGAGATGGCATTTCTACACAATGGAGAGCTACTCAGCTAGAAAGAAAGATAACCTCGAGGCTCTTGTGGGTAAACGGATACAACTTGAGATCATGCTCATGGCTGAATGGTTCAGAGCCACATGAGTGAACCTGGTGTTGTCTCCCTAGTAGGATCCTTTAGAACTCAAGGATTTAGTGGGCTCCAACATGTACAGCAGATGTTGTGAAGGCGAAAGGGGAAGAGCTGTCGGGGGGAGGGCAGTGGGCATGTTAATATAAATCGTTTTTTGAAACACTGTATTGTTCTCATTGTTGTGTTAGCTTGTTTTTAATCTTGGTTTTACTTCTTCATTTTGATTTTATCCTACTTGATGGCATGAACATCTATTTCTGAAATAACAAAATGCAGTAGTATGGTAGCCATTATTGCTTTCCTATTATCTTGTTTGGAGTAATGGATTGGTTGACTTGTTTTCTTTTAATTGATTTTGTTCATTTTGTTTTGTTTGATTTTATTATGTCTGATGGTGTAAGCAGCTACTCTGAAGATATCAAGATGCTTTATGGTAGCCACTGTTTTATTCCAATTGTGTTGCCCTTAAGTCCTGTATGGCTTTCATTGTTTTGTTTTGACTGGTTTTATTTCACTGTTTTATTTGATTTTACTATGCTTGATGATATGGCAGTTATTTTGAAGATAACAAGAGGCATTACGGTAGCCGTTCCCTTTTATCTTGTCTTGAAGCCTTGATCATGTTCATTGTTTTGTTTTGACACTTCTATTTTGTTTTGTTCGATTTCATTATGTCTGATAGTATAAACAGCTACATTTTAGAAAAGAAGAAGCTGTTGTACTCCTACAGTCTTGTTTTGTAGGCCTGTAATGCTTTCATTGTTTTGTTTTGATTACTTTTATTTTGTTAAGTTTTGTTGGATTTTATTGTGCCTGATGGAAGGCACAATAACTATAGGAAGTTATTTTGGAGATAGAAAGAAGTATCTTGGTAGCCAGTTGGTTTCCTTTTGCCTTGTTTTAAAGTCTTATATCATGTTCATTGTTTTGTTTTGATTGTCTATTCTATTTCTTTCAGTTTTATTCTCTTCAATTTAAAAAATTGAATGTGGGAACAATTATATTCTCTATGAATTTAATTTCAGATTTCTACGCAGGCCCTCATGGGGTGTTGTGGAATCTCAGAGGGTCTGTAAACTCCCTCTCTTGGCTTGAAACAGAAGTAAAAGCTTGAGCAGGCCTAGGCCTGTTGACTCTGGGATTTCCACTCGGACTCCATGTGGAACTACTTGATGTGTTTTTTGGTGCCTGGATCCTGTTCCAGTGAGGCAAATTCTGCAAGGGAGAAAGCCAGAGCCAGGTCAGCACAGAAGGTTCCCCTTTGATTGGACAGATCATTTGCCCATCTGTTGCTCAACACCAGAATCTCATATAACAAACTGTTTTCCCTCCTTGTATAGTCAGCACTTTCTCAAAGCATAAAAAAGAGAGGGGTGTATAAAAAGCACTCAGCAGGCAATGGGTGACACAGCAAGGAATTGTCTAAAAAAAAGGAAGAAAAGAAAATTTTCACTCTTGACAAATGCATACTATTTCCACACATCATTCTGCATTTGTTGAACACTTTAGGGTATTATTAACTTTAAGCCACCATATTTAAAAAAGGCACCTTGGGGGCTGTTGTGTGGCTCAGTTATAGATATGTTTAGCTTAAGGCTCTGGGTTCTGCTTTGACAGTGGTGGGGAGAAATGGGGAGGAAACACTGTGGAGGGCATAGCAGAAACTTTCTAAAATTGGAATTTGTAAGTTAGTTTACAGCCACAGCAGCATCAACCAACTTCTTATCCCAGCCCAGGCTGATACCTAACCAGCACTGTGCTCAGTGTTAGAGAGGTGCTGGGTGGGAACAGGCAGGGTGTTCAGAGCTCCCTTCCTGAGCCCTCTGGCCATGGCCTTCACATGCCCAGGTAGCTGCATAAGCCACCCCACCGTCTCAGTCATCACCTTTCTCTTCCTCTGCCTCTCTCAATTTTGAGTGCCAAGGGGCTCTGAGCTAACTCCTGCTCTTAACCCAAGCTCAGAAATGTCCTCCTGACTCTGGAGAGCATGCAAAACTGTAAACCCTAAACACTGGTTTTTAAAAAGTGGGTGAGATGAAAAGAAATGACAATACAGAAAATGTGGCAGCTTGTTTCACTGACATTACCTGATATAAAAGAGTATATAGGCTTGCTGGCTCAGCACAGATGAAATATCACTGGGCGATACCATGAAGTCATTCATCTGGTACCACAGACCATTGCTTGCCTGCAAAAGACAGCCAGCAAGAGAGAAATGTTAGATTTTGTCAGGTGGACAAAGACACAGTGAGAAGGAGGAGGAAAAGAAGCATTCACACATGACTTGTAAACCTGCCAGCTTTCCCCTCAGAGAATGCTAGTGCTTGCTGTCTTACAGAGTCTGTGTAAAAGCAAGAGCAAAATCCACACGGCTTACTTTTATGTAAGAGAAGTAGTGGCCCACACAGCACTTAGATCCGGTGTGGACCAGCACTGCATACAAAGAGTATTGCATGGCTTCTCCACTGTGCTGAGACATGTAAGGTCTAATGTTTAGTTGTTCTGGGTATTTCACAGCTTACTTTTATGTAAGAGAAGTAGTGGCCCACACAGCACTTAGATCCGGTGTGGACCAGCACTGCATACAAAGAGTATTGCATGGCTTCTCCACTGTGCTGAGAC